ATACGTTGGTTGAGCAGGGGTTTCCTCTTGGATCTGTCGCTAGTGCTGTTCATTCTTACTGTATTTTCAAGAGGATGCCCGTCTTCCGAGAAAAGGGTTTTGTACTGGGTACGAGTTTTTTAATCTGCATCCTGCATGCATGGCTAAAAAAAAAACTTGGTAAAATAAACACAGAACATTCCGGCGACCCCAACCTTCCCATTATCATCACAATTGATGGCTTCCTCCACACCGCCCAAGACTCAAGTAACTGGTCCAAAATTACAACGAACGTGTTTCCAAAAAATACATGGGTCAGTCTTCAATGGGATGCATCTTCGGCCTTGATACAAGAGGGCTCGTTGGATATTATGTCGCTCATAGCTTCAGCGAAACCGATTGAAACAGCCGCTTGCCAAATCCCAGGACTGCTTGTAAACAGCATCGCGTCGGCATTGAGTTGCTTTCAAATCGCACAATCAAATTGCGAGGCAACTGCATACTTACTGGCAGATGCGATAGCTCGTCTGGATGACTCCAAGTCCGTGATATTAATGGGGCATTCGTTGGGTGCAAGTTTGATATACCATGCGTTATGTTTGTGGGCGAAATCTCGGAAAGTACAATTGGAGATTGGAAAACGGGATTCTAAGTTGACAGGTTGATGGAGATGCTGGCGATATTCCAAGTCACAAGATTGAAAGAGCAATTTTGTTGGGTAGTGCATGTGCTTATAGGCAGAATAGTGGTGATTCGGGGGATGGATGGGCATTGGCGTCAAGTGCCGTAAGTCGGAATATTGTGAACCTTTATTCGCATCATGATGAAGTGCTGAATGCTTTGGGGACCGTTTCTGGAGTTGAGCGAGCGGGAGTGCGGCCAATCGAATTTGATGAGAGTAATAGCAGACAGGGTAAAGTAGTGAATGTGAGGTGTGATGAAGTATGTGGACATTTGGATTGGAAGCCGAGCGTGGCAACAGCAAGAATATCGAGCTGTTTACTATAAAATTATAGACTCCTTACAGCTGAAGTCTATTTTGAAGCTGAAGTTGTAGTAGTATCGCTGTCCCAAGTAGTCCTCCCCATCCTCCTCATCATCACTACTGTCAAACACACGACTGTATAAACTCCTCTGTTTTCGCATCTTTGATTTCTCGAAATATCCAGCCAGTGCGAGCAACTCATCATCAGAGTTTTCACTGTTGTAACCATCTTCAAGCTCGGATAGACGGGTATCTCCTTTCTTCTTCTTTGTCCTTTGGACACCACGTTTCTTTCGTTGAGAGGTTGATTGCTGTGACTGCTTTTTTGATGAATCGAAATCGAGTCCAGCAGAAACAAGAGGCCTTCCCTTTAGAGTCTTCGTGACTTTCACCTTCTTCGGACCGCCTTTCGGTCCAATCTTTCCGTATAAGAGAGACGTTGTTTCCTGCGATTTCGCTGCCGCATTGCGGTGAGGCCGCATTTCATTAATTTTTAGGCCCCGTTTGGCAGGGAAAAAGAAAATTTGAGTTTATTTCCAAATCCCAAATATTGGGTCAGATTGAATATTTTGAAATATTGTGCTCCCAATATTTGTAAATTCGCATTTTACAGATGTTCTACAGTATTTCCAAAAGAAACAGACCAAAAGTAAAATTTTCGTTCACAAATTCATATATTCTATATATTCTATAAAAATTCCAAAAACTCCATCTGTTTCCCACAACGCTGATAGTCCTACCATATTGCCTGTACAATAAAGTCCCTGTAACCTTGACAACCCTAACCACACCCTTACACCACCCACCGCTTCTTCTTAACCACCTTCTTCACCTTCGATAGTCTCAGGCTGGTAATCCAAGCCCATTCCGTCACTTCGCACGATTTTAAACAAGACACAAGACGCAGAGGGTAAAAAATCCCAGAGTTTCGAGTGTGCAGGCTCCCATTGCTTCAAACACCTGGCCTGGAACGTCATGGTTTGGGTTGTTGCACAATGTGATACACATGATGCCAGGAAACACGGCTTGTTTGTGCCTTCAATTTGTAGAACTACTGCAACTTTAACTTACATCAAGGAGGGCAATTAAAAAAACGGGACTTACTCTTCAATGGCCATTCTCAAGTTCTCCAATAGCTATGATGGCGAGATGTTCTCCAATAACCAGGGTAGTGAGACGACAGCATCTTGTTCAGCAAGGTAAGTCGATTCATCGAAAAAAAGTGAAGTTAAGAAAAATTGCATGACGCAATTGCAACGGAACAAGTTGACCAATCGGCATCTTCTGATCACAGGACTTGTCACGTGCCTTTGGTTGTAACTGTCGTTTTCGACTCTTCAACAAAAAAAATGTTGTGAAGAATTGACCAACACGGATACCTACTGGAGTGGCGGCGCAGCCGCATTCTTTAAGACAGGGCAAGGCTTGCGAATCATTCAACAATGATGTGTGGAACTTTGTGCTTGATTGTTGGAACACCAAACTCACCATCAACCAACTCAAGTCCCTTCGGGTTGACTGAACTTCATTTTATTTGCATAATACAAACCCCTTCTGCTTATTGTATAACACACGTTCCTTTTTTTTAATTTCAGCCACTTAAAGAGGAGCATTGTGCAACTACTCGAAATCACAATTGTTTTCTATCATTCTTTACCCTTTTACTTCATTACTATTGATTTTTGTTATTGTTGTGTTTTTGAATAGATTGCATTTATTGTTATTATTCATGTTTTTCTATCATTTTCGAAAGTCAAAATCTGAAATGCTGCTTCAAGCTGCATCTGATATTTACGCGATATTTGACCAAAATATTTGATTTTTGCATTTGGTTTATTTTGGATATTTGCAAATACTGAATTTGACCAAAATCTGAAATATTTTTTTGAAATCGTCATTTTTGGCAAATTGGTATTTACAAATATTTTTTTTCAAATATTTATTTCTTATTTTCATTTTTCCCTAGGGAAATTTTCCTGCCAAACGGGGCCTTAATAAAAAAAAAATAAAAGAAAAATAAAAGCTTTAATGGAACATGTGGGAATACGTTCATACGATGTAGCTGTACTACTTTTTACATACAAGGAAATACACAGAAAGAAAAAGAAACATAACAGAACGGATACAGTCGTCAATCAACAAGTATTTTCGTGAGTTTCGAATGAAGATTCCAGATTGCTTTCAGCTTACAATCAACGAAAAGTACCAGAATAGCAATGCAGAGAAATTGGGCTAAACTCCTCCCTTTACTTTACAGGAAACTGAAACGCGGAAAAAAAAAAACCTGCAACCAATAAGCCAAAAGGAAAAAAAAAAATCTGTTGTGAGATGTTTTTGCTTTATAATAATTCCCATTATTGAACCAAAAAAAATCACTTTGGCAAATGCACCTTGACATTCATAAAGTCCCTTGCACAAACCACACGTTCCCCAAAATGAGCAACAGCCAACTGCCTCACTTGTTCCATCACCACTAAACTCTCTGGTTCCGCGTCCCCCTTATATCTGCTAGAGAAATGATTCATGACAAGACGCGCGGCACCTACGCGTTTCGCGAATTGAGCCGCCATTTCAGGGGTGGAGTGTCCGTGGTCCCTTGTTTGCTCGGTTACTGTTTCGGGTGTGGATCCGTTTTCAATGTCTTCTTTCAGACATGAGTTTGTTGCTTCATGGATAACCAAATCCACAACAGGTGCGTTTGTTTGGTGGTTGGCGGCGGCATCTGAAGCGTCTTTCGCGTCTTCCACCTTGAGAGCGTCAATCAACCCAACAAAAGTAGATTCAATCGCGTTGCTGGTATCCCCCAAAATCAAAACTCTCCTCCCACGACGCGAAGGCTCCAAGAATTCAGTTGGGGAGATGACTGTCCCGTCCGGCAGTGTCAAGGTCTCTCCCGCCTTCACTTTTGATAACAGGACCATAGGGTTTTTGAGACCCAATGCTGCCTTGTTGCGCAACAGAATGGGTGTGATTAGCTCGGCTTGAAGTTTTCCAGGGATTTTGGGTTCAGTGAAAAAGTAGCCGACAGTGGGGACAGTGTGTTGAATGGGTGCGGCTTGGACAGTTATTTTTTTTGCGTTGCTGAGGGATGCGGATTTTGGGTCTGTGGAACCCGTGATGATGTTCCAGTACCAGCCTTCTGCGGTTTCTGAGGTTGCGGTTGAGGAGGAGATGTTTAATGCGTGGAAATCTTGGCCTTCGGTTTCGTCAATGTGTGGAGTTGTTGTTGTTTGTGTTGAGGGGTTGTCTGTGGGGAGAAGCAGTTCGTGAATGACGATTCTGTGAAAGAAGGTTGTGTTTTTTGTTAGGCTGAGATGGTCACATGTGGAGCCAAGAATGCGGCGGGAACAAGCATACCCGCGTCCAATTCTTGACATTGAAGCATCCAAAACGTTTCGAACGTATGCCTTGACGCCACGAGGGCCAAAAATGTGGATTGTGTTCTTGGGTTGTTGGTCTTGTTCATTGCTTGAAAGCCGTACTACAGCTCCAGCTGTGCACAAGAGACCCGGAAGCCCAAAGCAGTGATCTCCATGCAAGTGCCTATGTGGAATAAAGCCCACCCAAAAAAAAAACACGGTTAGAGAAACGCGGGACAGATTCAAACGTAGTTTGTTTTTACTTGAGAAAGATGTTGGTCAACTTGGACAGCTTTGGGGCATGATTTGATTCAGGCTTTGATGACAGCAGCTCTTCTGGATCCGACACAAATAGGGAGGGATTGTTGTTGAGATGGATTAGCTGATGCTGAGTAGCTTCCCCACAATCAACCAACCACACTTCTGTTTGAAAATACTGTTGTTAAACGGTCCCACATTACAATGAATTGTTTAAGTACGTACCTCCATCGCATCGAAATGCCAATGCCGAATGATTTCGAGTTGGAGATGGCTGTGCAGATGCAGTTCCAAGAAATGTGATGTCCATCTTTCTCTGTTTTTTAAGTATTTTTTTTTTTAATTTTTTTTCTGGGTGCAGAGATGACCGAATACTGATCAATACTATTATACATTCTGTTACTTCAAGGTTGCACAACGGTTCCTTGGTGTAGTGGTTATCACATCTCCTTTACACGGAGAAGGCCGCCAGTTCAAACCTGGCAGGAATCAAATCCGACATCTTTTTAGATGAAAACAACGAAATACCGACCCGAGACGCGTTTTTTCCGCAAGTCTTGATTTTTTGAATATATTGAAGTAAATTTCCGCTTTGAAACAAAACTGCCACCGACAAATGACATCGCGCGCAGCGTTTGACTTCCGGCTGCAGAGTGCCTTGGCGCAGCAGTTTGTCGAATTCCTTGTTGAGAAGGAGAGCGACTTTGAAGTTGACGCGGCGCTGTGGCAGCGACACCAGGCGAATCTCGCAAAGTCCGGGGACGCTACGCTAGACAAGTCCGGGGAAGAGTCAGCAGAAGAGTCAGGCGGCCCGGAGAAGCGCCTGGCAAACACCGTGCTGAAAGTGAGCATCGCGGCGGCCGATGTTGTGTCGTGCGACGCGCGCAGCAACGCCGCGGCGCGGCCGGCCGAAGGTGCGCGTTTTCTTCGCTGCGCTTTTTGTCTTTTTGTGACTCACCCGCCGCAGACGCGCGCGCGCTGCTTGAAATCAGCGCAATGACTCACGCGCTGCGGCTTTCGGACGCGCTGCCCGCTTACTGCCCGCCGCCGCACGAGAGTCCGCGGAAAGACTCCAGCGTCTGCTTGGACCCCCCGCCTTCAGTCCTGGTGGTACGTGTGCTCTCTTGTTTCTCCACAACTTGAACAGACCATTACACAGCCTCCAACATTCAAATTCTATTTTCCATTGGGGGACCCGTCGCGTCCCCACATTCATCGACTCCGTGCTAAAAAATGTGAAAGTACTGGCTTTTTAAAGAGGTCCCCTAGCTGTATGTCGGCTTTGGATAAGGAATTGTTGTTGATTGCTGGAATCGATGATGATTTGGGGCGTTCAAGTGAATGAATCGGGATCTCTTGTGGCACCAGGGAACGTGTCATCTCGGGTGAATCAAATTAAACTTGCCAGGCAATCTCATTCTTTTCCTCTGGCTGATTCGTTTGGTTACCTGAACGGAAAAGTCTGGATGAAATGATGGTAAGAGTTTTTCTTCTTTACTGGTTTTTTTACCGCATAAATCATCTTTTATCAACCATTGTCGCAAAAAAATATCAGGTTGACTTGAAGGCGTGCTTTATACTCGACCGAAGCAATGATCCATCGTCACCACCCAGACGACCCAATGCCTTGTACAGAAACGAAATGTGGCCCGTCACAACTGTGCTTTGCGTTCCACGGTATTGCAGTATGGCACTTTTTGATAAAGTGCATGCCCGTCGAGTCGCAGCAGTTTCTATACCAAACAGCACTGTTGAAATCCAAGAAGTAGAAGAGCAAGAAGAAGAAAAGTTTATTGAATTTGAGGACGTTGAGAGGTTTGAATTCCTGTTTCCTTTTTTTTTGTAAAAGTCGAACCAACCTTCTACTTTCAAGGTGGTGGAAGGAATTGACGGCGACATATCATGACGACCATGCCATTGTATTTAAAATTATGCAAAAAAGTAATATGCAAAACTATTTATCTCCGCAAGATTTTCAGCCTATTGTTGATGGTAACGTGTTTCAGAAACTTTGAGTGTGTGTGTGTGTGTGTGTGTGTGTGTGTGTGTGTGTGTGTGTGTGTGTGTGTGCAAATATTGATATCAGATTTTGCTTGGTTTTTTTTAACAGAAGTAGTACAAAGACACCCCGGACTAGAATTTCTTTCTACTTTAGCCGTGTTTCAAGCCCGTTATGGTAAATAGACCTTTAGTCATATTTTTTCCATCCTCCCCGCAAATAATGAAAACTTGTCTTTTTTTCTTTGATACAGCTGAAACAGTCATTACAAGAATATTTTATTCCAAAATAAACAATTGCAACGAACGCATGACTCTCGCCGAGTTTAGAAAACATGCCTTCTTGGAACTTTTGATTAAACTGCAACTGGACGACGACATTAATTCGGTAAAAAAAAAAACAGTTTTTAAAGTTTGGGCTGTTGTGTCCCATGCATTAATTAACCACATTTTTTTATTTTATATATATTCTTTTGTAGACCCGCGACGTCTTCTCATACAAGCACTTCTATGTCATCTACTGCAAATTCTGGGAACTCGATACAGACCATAACATGATTATCGAGGCGTCCGACATGTTCCGATATGGTCGAGGAGCGCTTACCGACATGATGATGAAACGCGTCGTTAGCGGATATGGGAAACCCTTGGCGCTTGGAAATGCGAGCAAAAAAATATCGTACAAGGACTTTATATGGTTCATGCTGTGTGTGGAGGATAAGAGGAAAGTGGGCAGTATTGAGTACTGGTAGGTGGTGGTGTGTTTGTTTGTTGTTTTCGGGAAAATTCTCACGTTTTTTTATATTTCTTTCACGTTCAAGGTTCCGTTGCTTGGACGTTGACAGTGATGGCATGCTGAGTCTATATGAACTTTGTGAATTTTACGAGCAGCAGGTCAAGAGGATGATTGACTTTCGAATGAGTGAGCCATGGAAACTGGATGACTTTATTTGTAGCCTGTATTGTTTTTTTTTTTCTATTGAATGTTTCTGTGGGTGATGTTGACTGCCATTTTTTTTTATCTCTTTTCTTGATACAGTCTCGATCTCATCAAACCAAAGAATCCAAACTACTTGACACTATCCGACCTCAAACGCACACCTCAGAACGCGGCCCTCTTTTTCGACATGTTGTTTGACTTGCGCAAATATGACAACCATGTACGTAGGATCGATCCAATGTATAGAGAAATGGATGATGTTTGGATTGAGGAGGAAGTTGTTGTTGGTTCTGTTGGTGGCGGTGCTGGTGGTTGTTTGAAACGCGTTAAACTGGAGGGATGGGATAAGTTTGCGGAACGCGCGTATGAGTTGCTCGCGTATGAAGAAGCAGGAGGTGGTGGTGATGGCGGCGGCGGCGGCGGTGGAAATGCTGATGCTGTTGATGGCAACGGGATCGGTGGTCGTGGTTCCGGAGTTGGTGGTGGGGTTCGAAATTTGGAGGATGATGATGAGGAGGATATGGAGGGTGGGCATTGGAGTTGTTATTTGGGGAAAGACGATGAGGATGAGGACGTTGATGAGGATGAAGACCATGATGTGATTAATGGCTGGGCGACGGAATTGGGGACAAGTCGTGATGAAAAGATGCACATGTTGGATGAGGATGAAGAGGAGGAAGAGGATGTTGCGCAAGGAGTCAAGAGGTTGATGTCTTATCATTCTGGGCTGTCGATAGATGAACAATTGTTGAGTGAGGCTGGGCGGGAGAATCGATTGAGGGGTGTGAAGAATACGAGACATTGAATCAATGTACAAAGGATTGGGTTTTTTTTTCGCGATGGGGTGGTTCTTTTATGGAGGGGGGGGGGGGGGGGGGGGGGGGGGGGGGGGGGGGGGTTTACTTTCTCTGATGCTGGGTGTTATTTAAATTTTTTTTTATATGTCGGAGAGCTGGTGGTATTTATTCAATCTCTTTCTGCGAATCTTTTTTTTTTTGTTAAGTCTTACACTTTTTTTATTTAAATTATTTATTGAACGTAAAAAGCCCTTAAAAATAAACATTTGAAGAAGTTTTTTGTTAATCTGTTTGTTGGGTTGTTCGGATACATGAGAATGAAGGAGCATTTCGAATCAACATTTTAAAAATGAACGAAACAGACGAACCTTCAGGATCCAAACGCAAAGGACACGCGGGCGGGAGAAAGCAAGTTGAAGATGAACCAGCGACAAAGAAGATTGCGCAACAGCGGGAGGTGAGGTTTCGACAAACTGTTGTTGGAATGAGTGTGCTGATTTGATCACTGTTTTCTTTTCATCACATGCAAAATAAGGCATCTCGCAAGTATAGAGAGAGAAAAGAGCAGTACGTCAAAGATCTCGAACTTGCCGTGGCAGAACTGAGCAAGGTGGGATAGATCTGTATGCGACAAACTCGTCACCAGCCCACTTAAAAAGTATAACAAACAGCAGGGATCTAAGCCTACAGAGGAATTGAGAAATCGAATCACGGCATTAGAAGCCGAGAATTCAATGCTGAGACAAGTCACATTCTCCTTTGATCCACTCCAAGCAACAGTTGATCTCATTCCTGCAACTCATCAACAACAAGTATCTACCGCCGCTGGAGGCCAGCTTCCCATAGCAACGGAAGATTTATTTGCATCTTCTGACTTCACGGTGCCGCATTTTCATTTCGACACGTTCAAACAAACTCAGGTGGACATCAACTTCGAATCTCTATTTTCAGAAACGGAACTCTCTGATATTCTGACTTCGTCTACAAACTCTCCAAATAACAATAATCAAGCACTCGAATCTGCACCACCACCTGTTTGGACACCAACGCAAGTGATTGAAAAGTTGGTCAATACCCCACTTCCAACCCCACCTTCAGATGACCAAGTTATTGAGCCGCATTTCAGTGGTGCCCGACGCGCGTTGGAAAAGCTACCTTCTTTGCAAAGCGCCCTCAATCTCGTGGATGAACTGATTAAGCTTTACTGTGTGCGTTTTTTTTTTTTTTTTTTCGGACCGTGGTGAAGAATCGCATCCCAAAACATCAATTTTTTTTTTGAAGGCTTTCGTCAACTACAAAACAGGAACTGAGCCTGTAACGTGTAGATACACATTTGGACTCATCAAAGTCACGGAAGGAAGGATTCTAGAACAATGTTCAACAGGGGGTATTGCTGCCGATATGGATGTGTGTGTGTTTGTATTTGAGGCGGTGAAGCGCAAGTATTTCATTATTGACCGGCCAAATGATGATCATTCTTTGGGATATAGCCTTCATGGTTGTAAGGAGTAAAAAAAAAAAATAAAAAAAAAATAAAAGTGAACAAATACAGTTTCAGATGGCAGTCACAATTACTTTGAAAGATACACTGCCAAAGTCCAAAAAAAAGGTAGAAAGCCCGTGAAATGTGGAACCTGCTGTAAGTATCCTTATTGGTTTACCCCTTTTTGTACATCTTGCTCAGTGGCTTGTCGATACAATAGACAAAGAGGGTTGCCCAAGTGCGATCGGCTGCTCGGGCATACAGAGAACGCAAA